ACCCTAAACCCCCAAGCCCAAGGAGATCATGTCTGAGCCGAGACGCTGCATTGGCGTAGTGCCAGTTGAGGTAGTACCTGACCAGGGTTTAGGGTTTAGGGTTTAGGGTTATGGGGGTCTACTCAGACGCCCAGGGGACATTATAAGTTGGGCATTTAGGGTTTACGGTTTAGGGAAATTGGGTTATGAGCAGACAAATAACAACCAGGGGGCTTGCAGCCCCATGTGTACTCTATTTGCTACGTCCCCTGGGCCTTCAAGGAGGGCTCAGGGTCGAATACCTGGCCAAAAAAGAAGGCAAGTGCCTCAAAATAAACGGGGCGAAGTGTAAATCCCTACTGACGAAGCCCGCATGGCAAAACTCGCAAATCCCCCCCATCCTCCTTATAATCTATAAGTAACTACAAGTCGTGTGAACAACTATAGACCACAATGATGATTGTAGGTAGGTTTTCCCTTGTCGTGACCCTCCCGACCTAAGGACTTTCGATCAGGTGTCTTTCGAAGTAGGCCTTACTGCAACATTTCAATCCCAAAGGCTTCAACCCTGAGTCCGCACCCCTGAGCCCTAGGCCCTAAACCCAAGTAGGTAGAATATGGGGATCTTACTATAATACACCCAAAAGCATATTCTATGTACTTAAGGGGGATTATAAACCCTTAGCCCAACCCAAATACCGTAAGGACTCAAGGCGGTTCTGCTGCAAGTTGGGTCATCCATACTCAGGTCAACGTGGATCCCGCAAAAAGGCTGGGCGTCTACCGTCTTTGCATGGGCACGCACTAAACCCTAAACCCCTAAACCCCGAAACCCTAAACTCTAAGCCCCTAAACATCCCTAAACCCCTAGACCCTAAACTCTAAGCACCTAAACCCCTAAACCCCTAAACCCCCAAAGTCCATCCCCACCTCGGAAGCCACTTCATCCTGCCTTGACATGTGCACGAATGCCACCAGAAAACTCCCCAGCTGCTAGGGCAGCAAAGAGATGGGTAGGTATGTCATGAAACAGTAGTGCAATCGATGTGGACTTCTGGACCTGGCCAGAAAAGGGCAAAAACAACATTGCCTTCAGGTTTCCAAACACCCTAAGCCCAAATTGACAAAGCTGGGGGGCCCAACTTGACAAAGTAGGGGGGCAGAGGCCCGCAGTGATAAAGATGCTGCTGCCGCGAATAAATCCAGGGTTCTGGAGCCACCCTCCACCACTATCACCTTCACTGATATTGATGAGCTGGCACAAGTTCTCGTGCACATAGTATGGAGGTCTTAGGTCAAGAGAAGAACCCAAAACCCTAAGCCTTAAAGCTTAACCCTAAACCCTGAACCCTAAACCTTAAAGCTTATACCTAAGCCATCTCTCGGCCTGTTGCACTGGACCCCTATATAGGGTTTAGGGTTGAAGGCTTAGGGTTTAGGGGTTCAGGTTTAGGGTTATAACCCTTAATCAGGGAACTCCTCCTTTGGGCGCCACCCTAAGCCTTAGACCGTGGTAGTTTCCATGTTCTTTGCCATTATCCCCTACATATTCCCATTTTCCATTTAGGGTTTAGGGTTTAGGGTATTTTCCATTATCCCAAGATAACCCTAATATAGCTCCAGTATACCCCCAATATAAGGAAACCCTAACCCATCTCGCGGTCTGTTGCACTGACTGCGCACCTGGCATCCACAAGCTGCCGCATGTGGAAAACTTGATCTCGACAGTGGAAATCCTGCCGATGTGATCGTGTAGTCGAGATCACTTGAGCTATAGTCTAAACTTCTCAAAGGGAGGGGGATTATGTAGGGGATTATATAGGGGACTACTATAGGGGATATTAAGGGGGACACTAGGAGTTTAGTCAGGGGATCACTTACTGCCTCGAATATCATCCCTAGGCGGTCAGGGCAACATAATGATGCTGTTGCTCACACTTCTCCGAGTGGCATTGGTGACGACTACTAAGAGGGTTTAGGGTTTAGGGCAAGCATGATGTCGACCTCGCCTTTGTCCTGACTGCTGCATGCTCGAACCCCGGAATGCGGCCATACCTGAGTCACTCTTCTGATAAGAAATGCGGATGTCGCTCCCTGTCTCGGTGGTGTGTGACAGGATCAGGCTTGTGATGGCTAAAAAGATGAGAAAGGGCATCTGTATTGCGCTCTTTTAGGCCTGTCAGGTGTGCGCAACAATTTCAGCGATGGTGGGGTATATATTGGGGTTCTATAGGGATGAGGGAGAAGAAATGGAAGCTACTATAAAGGGGTTATATAGGGATATTCGTCTGATATTACGAGTATTGTAGGGTCGTGCCAAAGCCTTCCTTACTGCTTCTTCAGCGGGAGTTGTGTGGTCAATCCCTGTATTTCCCCATGATGTTGCCTGTGTTCACTCCCCTGAAACACCAGGAAGCCCAAGCCATCAATCCTGCTCAAGGGTTTAGGATTTCATGAACAGCCGACGGTTTCTCGTTTCTGGGTGCCACGCTGTTGAACACTGTCAGAACGTGTCTGAGACCCGGGCCAGGCCACGAAGTGCGGGAAGTCATCAGGAACGGCTGGAGTTCTAGTGGACATTGTCTTTAGAGTACCGGTGGGTGTGATCAAGACCAGCATGTGGCAATGCCTGAAATTACTTAGCTAGATATCCAGTAGCTGGCCTTCATCCAAGCAGTACCTCTTGGTGCATCTTGAGTTTTTGCCAAATCTCAGTAAGCTATTGAAAGGTCAAAGGTTATCCGCTGAATTGCACAGGTCGGCTTTCCTCTACTTCCACAGGCTGTAGTTCAGCGGTTGAAGCAGACGGGCCAAGCTTCTCCGTGTGAACTCCGGAGCTGATTTTCTTAGTTGGGGACTGCCACTAGCACTCGTGTCAAGTCTATGTCAGTAGTACTGCTTTGTTGCTGTTACAGTTTGCAGTATATGAGCCATTGTCGAAACCTACCAGTATCCCCTTAATAACCCTTATAGTCGTCCCCTATATAATCCCCTATATAGCCACCGTTAAGGAGTTTAGACTATACTTCATCTGTTGCTGCATATCCTTCTCATCATGTTCCCAAGGCATGGTTGAGTTTGTCGCCGCTTCTGTTATGGTGAGCGTGAGAGGCAACTTGCTTCCTGGTGGGAGAGCAGATTGGGTGCCAGGAGTGGTTGGCTCTACCATAGTTCTTAATTAATCGGTTATACTATGAGATGAGCTACAGTCATCATGTCCCATATGACTAATGGACATGTGTCCGTGATAAGGAACTTGTCAGCGACTAGACTTCACTACCAACAAGACCCCTATATCCACTCTTCTTGGTCCCGTGCTTACCTGACTATTGACAGTCACTCAATGCAGCTCATGGTCATTGACGGTATGCAGATGTATCTTTTGAACTCCCTTGAAGCTCTTGCAGGACGTAACTGTACAGCGAAGCCTCAGAGCCTTCTCTGCAGCTTCCCTAAACCAGGGATACTAGGGTAGGTTCGGGAGCACCATGCAACAATTAGATTCCTTTGGCATTGTAGGATTGTAGGGGTTATGATGCGAGGATTAAGGGTAACAAAAATAAGAAGCAATTCTCAAACCTACCTTTGTAAATATCTCTAACAAAGCCTGCTTCATCTCTTGTAGATGTAGCAGATGGTCATCTCAAAACGATTTGCAGACCCAGCCCGTGACTGACATGCATCTGGCAATGCAGCAAATATGCAGCAAGCATGTGTCAGCGTGACAGAGGACGGAGACTATCAGAAATGATCCTAACTCCTAAACCCTAACCCCCAAACCGCTAATATAAAGCATCCCCGGCCCCAAAGTTTACTATCATCCTATAGATAGAAGTAGGGGGGTGGGTGCTGAATTGCTGAATCTCAGGGCACAGGAAAGTAACGGTGATCGTGGCGCCCATCCTGCCTATTGCCGCTCTCTTTATCCTGGCTCTCCATGATTGCTGTGGTAGCCAGTCTCAGTTGTATCAAGTCTTCTTGACGGATGCGGATTGCGACGATGCTTCAGCACAGGGTCTGCCGGGCATTGCATCTGGGGATGTCTCAAGATTGGCCTTCAGTCAGGGCCCTACAAAAAACTGGTAGATGTACTTTCCGAAATGAAAATGTAGTCCAGATGAAGCTCCTGGAAACTCAGGAACTCAACAGGATTTCCCTGTTGAGGAATAACTTGTGGGATTTTTTGAGACATAGCCATCCGCGCGGTCAAATTTGAGGCGACTGCAGAGTGTTCCTGCTGCCGTCTCAACGTTCAGCACCAATCGTCCTGACTGATGCTTTCTCTGTCCTCGATACTTTGCTGCACTGAGATTTGGCTTTGGCGTATAAAAGGATGCAAAGACGGGCTGGTCAGGCGATCGAATCAGAACACCTCATGGCATGGGAACGCCATCAGTGTCTTGAACACTGTGGCATGGCATAACATTTGCTGAGCTGTGCATGTTGATGGGGCGCACAGTACCGAAAAGATCTTGAAAAGGCCTCGTCAGGAAGCATGACTTCTCTTGAAGCAGTCATGGTCAAGTTTTCCTTTCTGGCCATGCTACTGCTACTCACCTTCCCTCAAGCGATCCCTCCTGCACCTGCTACCAGAACTAATTCCTGGTGCTACTCCATAGCAAACGCGCTTCACTTGCGAGAGGAGCGCAAGAACTATCACAGGTTGGGACTAGGCAGCCGCATAGATCTTGCTTCTGTATCTCGCCGCCTATGTAGTCTCCCCATATATTGTTTCGAAAAACCTTATGATCAGTAGGCTGTTCCTGTGTTCTCCCCATAGGTAGGCTTATAGCCGTAGGGACCGTTAGGCAGGAACCCATCATCTCCCCAAGTCCCCATATCAAGTTGAGGGGATGTAACTCCGATATGCCTGGAGCATTCCACCCAGCCCTTTTAAGCACCTCCTCAAAAAACATGCAATGTAATTGGTTAGGGTTTAGGGTCTAGGGTTCTAGTGTGTTTCTACAATTTTAGTAGTGATCTCTCCCCAAGTCAAGGACCTCGAATTAGGGGGAAGGTGATTATTCCTTGTCTGTACTCGAGCTGGCGCCAGCTCGTGAAGTGGGTCGGAATGCATCCGGATTCAAAGACCTGGCGCAGCTTCCCCCACAGCTCTTCTTATGAGTTCTTGAGAGAAGGACTCTATCCCCAGTTTGGAGTACACCCTAGAAACATGTAAGACTTGTTGTAAGAAGAACCCAGGAACCAACAAAAGTATCAAAGTGTAGCACTCCCAAATTGGGGTATTGGGGACCCCAAACAGGGAGCGCCAAAGTATAGAAGGAATAGAATAGGAACGTACCTCGCAGCGTCCGTCTTGCCTGGGGTTCCCTGTTCGGGGTCCCGATGAGAGCCTGGTTACTTGAACACGAGGACTATGCAGGGGGTTCGCTAGAAAGGAGGCCCCAATAGAGATCTCCATGATCTTAACAATGTACTGAGTATATGCTGGTTTCCAAAACCTGGAGTCTATATATGGACTTCCCACTTCATGGGGCACCTCAATACATGAAAGCCCAAGCCTAAAACCCTAAATCCTAAATCCTGAACTCTAAACCATAAATCACCCTAAAACCTCAACCCTAAGCCGAGCCCTAAACCCTAAACCCCTAAACCCTTAAACCCTAAACCCTAGACGCTGCATCCCGACCTTGAGCCATATCCGCCCGCATCATCTTCAATCTCGATCTCCTCGGGGATCTCCTGTTCAAGCTCTTGGGGACCATAGGAATTATGAACGATTATTAGGGTTTAGGGTTTAGGGGGCCCGGTCCCCTGAGGAAGCGCATGAACTAAATGCTATAGGGTTTAGGGTATCCCTGAACCCTATAAACCTTAAATCCTTTTAACCCTAAACCTAATCTTCTTTGAGACGCTCACTGCAAGAGCGACGAAATGGAGCCTGCTATTTGTGAGTTTCCGAAAATCAAGGGCCAATAAGACTATGTAGGGACATAGAGGAGTATAGTTCCAAAAACTGGGGGCCCTTTTTTTGAGAGTCTCTGTAAGAAGAAGGATACAAGATTGGATGTCGTATTCGGCCTCCTATTTATGAAAACTACAATGTCTTGAACATCCTAGGCTTGGGGAAGTGCAGCGCACTTTTTTGGGGTTCCTGCACGAAGACGTCTGATGCTTGGGGTGCTTATACATGTACGCTGTAGGGGAATTTTGAGGTCCATTTGAGGTACCCGATGCCATAATTATACAAGGAATCTAGGACCAACATCGGTGACTAACTAGGCTTCTGCATTACCATACCGTTGCAATAGCATCCAAGGACCTTTTGCACACGCTCACACGCCCCTCTGACTGGCGCCCCCCTGGCCTCTATGGGAAGGGCATTGCTAATCCCATCATCCTGGCACCAGGTTTTAGGGTTTGTGGTTTAGGGTTTAGGGTTTAGCCGCTGTGAGGTTACAGGGGAGTGTTGCGAGAATGCGGCAGATTGTACGTCTAAAGTTAAAACGTTATGAAGGGGGAAGGGAACATGTAGTGCGCTTGCACTGATTAGCTATCACATTGAGGACAGCTCCCTGTTACCAACTAAGGCTGCAAAACGTTCATCTCTGCAGTTCTGATGCACATCATACAGCATATCTAGCCAAAAAGGTGATACCAGCAACCAGTGGAGCGAAACCCTAAACGCGTAACAGGCAGCCGTCTCACAGCAAAGGAGATGATCATTCAGACCCAGTCCACTGGTACGGCCTGTAAGCGCCGTGATACTCTAAGTTGATAGTTAAGATAGAGAGATCAGCCCCAATACTTGCACTGCTCAGAGGGCCTGGGCACTGATTAAATAATCAGGGGATTATAAGCAGACCAGCCCTATGGGACTTATAACCCATCTACAACCTACTTACAAAGTCCCCTGCACCTTCAAGTACTCATCCTTGTAATTCTCTGTATACACGTAGTTTCCAGCTCAATTTTTTGCCTTCGATCCTCCATCATTGGAATTATATATCCCTATATAACCCCTTGTAACCATGTAATCTACCCATGTATTGCGTCATGCCCCTCTGACAGAGACTGGTATCACAATGGGTAATAGGAGCCCCTAAACCCTAAACCCTACACCTAAACCCTAAACCCTAAACCCCCCTAAACCCCTAATAAGAGCCTTGGGCAGTCACTGGGAGGGGGGCCTAAACCCACGTGCACAAGAAAAGTGTGGCAGGTGGAAGTACGGGTGCTAAGCTCGATAGTGGCCATCATGAAGTTGGTTAGGGGTTAGGGGTTTTGGGTGGCTTAGGGGTTGGGACTTCTTGGTTTGGGGTTTAGCGTTTTAAGGTTGAAGGAGTTTCCGAACACTAGGAGCTCCACTATTGACCCCAACATACTACAGACCTCATTTAGGAAATCCTAGTCCCTATACATCCAGTACGATGTTCGTTTTCCATGAAGTTTCCCATTATCGGGGAATATCCCTATACCCTAAACCCTAAAATAATAGATTCCACTTCATTTTCCATTTTCTTGTGCATGTGATTCTCCATTGTTTGGGTAATATCTCTACATAATCCATATACAACCTAAGCACGAAATCCTTGACCTTCAGGCCGAACCCCTCAATTTGGGTAATATCCCTATATATATGTATACATATATGCACACCACCAGAATGATATTCCTGTACAATCCCTTCACGAACCCTGTATCGCCATACCATACACCCTAAACCCTAAGCTCTAAATAACCACAAAGATGGGGTCTTTGGGCTGCTACAATGAAACCAAGATTTTGTTTATGGTTTAGGGTTTAGGGCCTGGAAGCCATGCCTCAAGGATTGGGATTGGGGTTGAGTAGGGTTTTGGGGGCTATATTATGAGAACTGCCCCTGGAATGGAGAAAACCATGGAAAACAAGATGGAAGGTGAAACTGAATCTCATCTAAAATACCTTATGATCCCAGTTTCCATTTCATTTTCCATTTTCTTTTCCATTTGATTCTCCATTATAGGGATATAATAACCTCAATATGTAACCCCACTAGGGGCTTATCTTAGGCAACTTATCCTCGCATAATCCGTATAGAATTCCCTTAGCCCCCTCCCTAAAAGCCCTAAACCTGAGATGCCGTCAACGACGGCAGGCTTGGGTTTCTGAGCTCCTTTTACAGGGGCCCTCTTTCAGCCTACGACTGAACCCCTGTATCATAGACTCTTGACTCACTTTTGGGACCTCCTCGGAGGACGTGTCGGTGTAGTCCACATCCCTGGCGGCCTCCACGCAAGTGGCTGCGTATGTATGCGGATACCGGAGGGTCCCCACTAAGATCACTAAGAACTGAGGGAGGGTCGTCTCGATAAAAGCACTCAATGTCAATTAGCATTTGCCGAACACGTGGAGGTTTCTCTAAATTCTTGGGGCACCAAGTCTTACAGTACACGGCACCTAGAATTGTCGGATAAGAGTGCCCTTTTCAGTCATCTATATAATCTCGTGTTGTTTTGTGCAGGATTGAGGGCATGAACGCTGGAACTTCCATGAGAAGGCACATTGGCACTTTCCACCTTGTATTAGGAACTTCTCGCTTACGGTGAGCTTACTTATGCCACAAACTGAAAACTCTGAAAACCTGAAGCGTGAAGCCTTCTCCCCCTGCCATGCGTCTGAAGTCTGGCTGTCCTCTATTGTACCATCCACCGTCTTGCCATTCTTTGCGACCTCTTTCTCACGTAGGTCCTATGTGCCCAGAAAGATTTGTTTGTAGGGTTGAACCATGGGAAATATGTTGAGCGCTCGAAGTCCATGCTTAAATGCTACCCAAAAATGAGCGGTGCTGTCTTTTGAGTTGGTTGAACCAGATGACGTGAGATATCTGTTCCTAGACCCATCTACCCTCTGTATATCCCAAATTAGGAGCCATATACCCTAAAGGGCACAAGGAGGGTCCGGGTTTACATCTTGATACATATTCAGCTGCTAAAGCAGCCAAGTTTTAGATGCCAAAGCAATTCGCTAATTCTGTGTTTCGCATATTATGAGAATTTCTCAAAGCTGGTGTACCCCATGAACCCCAGCGATATTTGGTAGATTCCCTAAGTAGGGGACCCAACATGGACCCCAAAATACTGTAATCCTGATTATTATAGGAACCCACCCAAAAAAGGTACACCTAATTTTGGGAAACCCCAACGTGGGGAATGCAAGAGGTTCTTGGTTTACATTTTTAGGGATTCCTCCGGGATTATTTTGGGAGAATCCCAAGATAGGCCGTTTCAGTCACGTGTGCTCATCCCAAGACAGAAGCCCGCCTTGCCAGAATCACAATCGCTTGCATGTCTGACACACAGGTAATTCATGTTCTTGTGGGCGCTTTTTGCGCAGCTTCGTCCAACTGAGCTCAAAAAACGAGATGCTTTCCATACTAAGCAATATGCGTTCCATCCTGGTGCTTCGCAACTGGCAAACTTTTCTGGGCTGCTGTGACAGAACCAAAAGTAAGTTACCATAATATGATAATACGATTGTATAGTCACGAATCAGAATTGTCAAGCTCCTCAACAGCAACCCAGCTTTGCAAACACCAGTTGTTCTGATTATAGGGGGGGGTTCTCAAAATGAGCCCCACGTGATGCCAACTAGGGACCTCCAGAATCCCTTCATAATCCACAAACTTCTCAAAGGCACCCCCCAACCCTAAATCCTAAACCCTGGTGAAGCCCACTCCTGCGCACCCTTGGAGGCGTGCGCTGTGGAGTCCATGGGTCCAGGCCCCTGAGCTAGGGACATTAAGCAGAGCTGTGGTGTATTTAGGATTTAGGGTTTACTGTTGAAGCATACTTTGCGTACTGCCTCGGCCCCATAAGAGTCCATCAGAAAGGGTAATATGAAGGGCTTTGTCTAGTGAATGTTCTACATGTTCTCCAGCTGTTGTTGATTGCGGGCAGCATCTAAAGCATACTTGTAGAAAACATGAAGCATGGTCATGTTTCACCAGTACACTGGAAACCGTATGATATAGCGAAACACTGAAAAATAAAATGGTTTTCATGATGCCAATATGTCCATGTAAAGCGCTCAGCTTCAACTTCAACTCCTACAGCTTCATCGAGGAACAGTAAAACCAACCGAGAAAAGATGAGGGAGTATAGTCCCCCTAAGTAGATTGAACATGGGGTATATGGGGATCTTATTCATAATATACCCCCAAGCCATATTCTATCTACTTAAGGGGGACTATTCTCCCCATTTCGAGTGGAGCACTGGACAGACACTGTGGGGCCATAGTTGAATGCTGACGGGGGGCCTACAAGCGTGAGCCTTGGCCCCAAGAAAGGCCTCCCCAACAAAAACACGAATCGCACTCCCGTGCCAATTTGGCCCCCTTCCACTCTTCCTCTCAAGGATCTGGTTCAATGACATTTTGCTCTCGACCGTGTCAGGAATACATTCGAAAAAAATGTGCTGGAAGTACATGCAACGGAAAAGCAACAAACAACACACTTTCGATGAACACACCTCACATGGGAGCCCACATAATGACCCTCACAACCCAAACGTTCCTGACGTATCTGCTTGAAGGGCCAGGGGGTCTGAGTGAGTAGGTTAATAACCTCTACAACAAGGCATAGAATATGCTCAGTTATCTCACTAATCAACCTGCTTACCAAGTCCCCCGGACCCTCCAACTGCAGCACCCCATCTTCATCCCCATTTGAGCTATAACCTAAACTCCTACTATCCCCTTTAACAACGCCTATAGTAGTCCCCTATATAATCCCCTGTATAACGCCGTTGAAAGAGTTTAGGCTTTAATTTAAGCTCGAGTCACCCCTTGGCGCAGCTGCAGGGCTTCAGGAGTAAGGCCAACTCCACTTGGTGTGTTCTCCTCCTGGCATTTAGGGTGTCGGGTTTAGGATTGGGTTCAGGGTTTTCTCCTGGCGTTTAAGGATTTAGGGGTCTAGATACAGTTGTTTAGGGTTTAGCAGTTAGAACGGAAAGGAAATCGACAATGAAAATGCAGGGGCCCCTAACCCTACACCCTAAATCCTACACCCTAAGCCCTAAGCCTAAGCCCTAAGCCCCAAATCCTAAACCGAATAACTGCCAGCGTTAGTCTGCGGTTTCTTTGGAGTAATCTGCATAAGGAACCTGGGGCTAACATCTTGGTGATGTGTTTTTCTGGGTTGCTGTTAAGGAACTTAAATTAAGTTACCATAATGGGTATATATAGTAACTAATAGGGTTTCCCCAATATTGTAACTTAATTTAAGTTCCTTAACAGCAACCCAGTTTTAGGTGCTTGTATGGAATGAATGCCAATGCGGTTAGTGGACAAAATCCTGCACAAACCCTAAGCCCTAAACCCTAATTTAGGGTTGAGGGTTTAGGTGGTGTAGGGCAGTTAGGGTATGCAGGATTTTTCGAGCAACGGCATCATTTGAGGTTTACTTGAAGTACCTATTCCAAAAATAATCCAAGGAATCCCGGATTCTGACATTGGTACACTCCCCCAAACTAACATGGAAACCCATATAGTCCCCCTTTAAAAGGACTGTAGTCTTTATAGGGCCCTTTTTGGGTTTCCAATTCAGTTTCTGGGAGGGTATTTATTTCGGCTTCTACATCACACAGCCAAAACATCCGGGCTTTGCTTTGGTTGTTTCTCAAAACTGCACCCCCTCTTGGGGATCCTTACGAGGGGATCCATATGAGCCATAATCTACACTCCTAGTATCCCCCTTAATAACCCCAAGTAGTCCCCATAATCCCTTATAGAACCCCCTTAAGGAGTTTAGACTATGGATCATATATGGGCCGGAAAACCTAGAGGGCTTCGGATGGGTACAGTAACCAGTTCAGAGAATTCTGTGACATAAGAGCTTGGCTTCCAAAGGTTTAGGGTTTAGTGTTTCTTTAGTGCTGCGAGCATGTTAGATATGAAAGGACCGATTGAGCGACAGGCAACATGCTTCGAGATTCCTTGCCAATGTGTATGCCCCTTGCCGTGTAACAAGCTCAGCTACCACAGTTCTCACACACACTAGCACTCTATGTACACATATTATGTGTGTATATATATATATATAACAAGATAATCGCCAATATTGACATGATTACGAAATTGATACTCTCATGTCGACCCGCTTTTGCCCCGAGGAATCAATAAGCATTAACGCAGGACAGCGCATGCGACAAGCTCACATGCTTGGAGGGTCAGAGCAGCTTTGTAAGCAGGTTGAACATGGGGTTATTACATGGTTTCTGGGGCTAGTGGCATGCTTACTGGGTGCCTCTAACCCTCCAAGTGGTCCATTTGCAGTTGTGAAAAGCTAGATGAACCAGCTCCGGCAGGCTAGGCCAGGGGTCCAGGATGGACATGGGGTTGGCAGCACAAGCTCCTAATATCAACAGCCATCCCCCTTGTTAAACTACTTCCTAAATCCCCCTGAAGATCAGGATTGCAAACCCCCAGGCCTGGTCCATTTCTCTTGGAACATCCTGCTTCTATGCTCAAAGAACATTTCATGTTGTGTCCAGGTAGCCATGTTCAAACGCCGGAGCCGGTAGGAGCTTACAGTCCGCAGTCACATCTTGAAGGCAGATGCAATCAGAGGCTGGAACATCTCTGAGCCGACGAGCTTAAATGGCTGTTTCGTCCCTGTGGGTTAGCGCTGCAAAGGATCGCCCAGCTTTACAAGATGTACAGCTATGCGGGCGTCATCCGGTCCTTCCTGAACTTATCTGAATCTGAACACTAACACCCTAAACCGAAACCCTAAACCCTGAACCCTAAAATCCTAGGCCTAGGCGATCTATTTGCATGCCGGCTGTGGGCTATGTCATGAGGGCTTCAAGAAAATCAGGATAATGCAGGATATGGGACCAGGCAGCATGGGGTCCGTATTCTTACTGTCGCTACCATTATACTATGATTCTTACCATTATTGCTACTATTTATTGCTTCTATTCGATTATTACTGCTATGATTCTTACCTTTATTCCTTTTCAAAGGCTCCCCGGCCCCAGCCTCTGCGGGAGTTTGGGCAACAGAACTTTGCCGCTTTGACGGCTTCGCCCATCGAAGTCAGAAGTTCGTTGCCGGACGTGTTGGCCCCTCATACAGTCATGGTTTATGGTTTAGGTTTTAGGGTTTAGGGCTCCTAAGCACTAAACTCTAAATTCCACAGTACGAGTATGTTGGACTGTAAAATGCTACCCCCGAAGGGGAGCCTGCCTCTGTCTCATCCTCATTGTTTAACATTGTTTGATGTTGGAGCCTGGCTAATAACTCCCCATATGATTTGAAGGTCTATGTGAAGTACTGTATACAACAGTTGTATTTAGTTGTACAAGGAACCCAGCACCGACATGCTGGTAATACTTCAGGCGGGAATTGTACAGTACCTCTACCTCATACTCATTGGTTATGCGCAAGCCGCATCAAGACCCCAAACTCTAGTCCCTAATCCCTAAACCCTGGTGGTCACGAAGTGATCCGCCATCCAGGTCGAGAGCCTGCAGGCCGTTTTTTTTGTCCAAAGTCTGATGGGACAGGCGCCACATAAGTGCTGCGTTTTAGGGTTTAGTGAACACATTTCAATACATTTCCGTTGTGAGCCATAGCCTAAACTCCTAGTGTTCCCCTTAATAAGCCCCATTCTAATCCCTTATACAATCCCACTTTAAGGAGCTTAGACTACAGCACATGTGAGTCTCTGATCATGCGGATCTGGGAATCATGAGCTTGTTGCAGAGCTGTGTGGGAGCCCTAAACCCTAAACGCTAAAGCCTTAGCCCTAAACCCTACGCCCTAAACCCTACACTCCCTCAAACTAACACGGAAACCCATATAGCCCCCTTTTTAACAGGACTGTAGTCTTTATAGGGCCCTTTTTGGGTTTCCAAGTTAGTTTCCGGGAGTGTAAACCCTGTGGGCATCATAGTTCATAGTGGAGCAAGGCTGGATTCACCAGTTTTCTGACACACCAACTTCGCTAGTGCCGAAAAGAGGCATATGCCAATAGAGGGAGGGCTTAGGATCTCAGAACAGAACTTCAGTTCATATAGGGGCCTCAATCATCACCAGTATCAGTTTGAGATCGATTTGGGGAAGCCTATCCCATAAGTGTTGGAAATTCTCCCCATAGCACCCTATAGAGCCAGTTTCCATTCAGTTTCACAATTCCTTTTCCATCTGATGTTCCCTTCTTGGGATCATATCCCTATGTCTCTGTATAGTATCCCGGAAAACCCTATGCCTAGACCCTAGACCCTAAGCCCTAAGCCCTAAACTTGAACCCAAACCCCCCCAAACCCTCAATCCTTGGTGTCAGGATCGATTCCACCCGCAGCCTTGGCCAAAGGGCGACCTAGGCACCGCAACGAGGACCTGCCCAGGCAGGCGTAGGAGATCCCAAATGAGTCGTGTTTTTTTGGTGGTGAAACCCAGTAAGATTATATTCC